CCTCCTTCCTTCCTTCTTTCTTCTTCCCTCTCTCCCTGTCTTTCTTCTTTCCTCCCTCCCTTCCTTCTCTTCTGTGTGGCCTCATCCAGGCTCCTCTGCCAGCAGAGCCCAGCATTTCATTCAGCCCTGAACTGGGCAGCCTGTGTCTCCCTGTTCCCTGTCAGCTGCCCACTGGGGCGCTAGTAGCACTGGCTGTGAGGACCCTGGGTGCCGGGGTGGGGGGTGGGGTGGGGGGGAGGCGCAGCTTGGGCCTGTCTCCACCACCCTCACCTGCTTTGCAAGCTTGACGGAGTCGCTGGTGAGGCGCGTGCGGAGCTGGGGGTCCAGGTGTGCGGCAGGGGCGATCTCCACCACCTTCTGGTGCCGCCGCTGGATGGAGCAGTCCCGCTCATACAGGTGCAGGATGTTCCCATACTGGTCCCCTGGAGCAGGTGGGAAATGGGGCTCAGCCTTTTGTGTGGACTTCACACACCTCCAACAGCCCCCGTGTGGACACTGGGGCCAGGCAGCTGGGGTGGTCATTAAGTGGTAAAAACCAACTGCCATCTAATTTCAGAACTCTATTTCTGGAGGCATTCCTGCGCAACCCTGAGGCCTTGAACTATCCCAAAGCAGCAGCTATAAAGCAGAAAGAAATGGGCTTGTGCCGCCTGGTGAGGCGGTCCGCGCGGAGGAGTGTGCATGCTCCCCACTCACCCAAGATCTGCACCTCGATGTGCCGCGGCTTCTCGATGAACTTCTCCACAAACAGTGCGCCGTTGCCAAACGCCGCCAGCGCCTCGGAGTAGGCGCGCGTGTAATTCTCCTCCAGCTCCTGCGAGGGAGGGCAAGGCCAGGCAGATGTGAGGCCCTGGCTGTGTGTCCTCTGCCAAGACCCCTGACCACTTCCCAGAATCCTGTGGGGCCACCGGGGCTGTGTGCCCCCGCTCGGCCACCGGCGTCAGCGCCTGTGCTCACCTCGTAGCTGTGCACGACCCTCATGCCGCGGCCCCCGCCCCCATAGGCAGCCTTGAAGATGATGGGGAAGCCATAGGTGTTGGAGAACTCGTGGGCCTCGTGCAGGGAAGTGATGGGGGCGTCAGTGCCGGGGACCACGGGGACACCTGTGGGGACAGGTGCAGGACACTGTAACAGGCTGGCCCCCAACCAAACAGCCCCTCCCCGTCAACCTCCTCGTGAGGAGCTGTGCTTCACCTGCAGCGATGGCGATGGCCCGGGCCTCCACCTTGTCTCCCATCTTACGAACCACTTCTGGGCTCGGCCCGATGAACCGGACCCCAGCATCATGGCAGGCCTGGGCGAAGTCTGCTCGCTCGGAGAGGAACCCATAGCCAGGGTGCACCGCATCCACCCCGTTCTCCTGCGGAGGGTCAGGGAGGCAGCCGCCCTTAGTCCCCTTGAGGTCTAGCGGCCTCTCTGACCTCTTCCCATTCCTTTCTGGGCACCTCTCTCTCCCCTGACTTATTGCTGGCTGGCCTGGGTGCCGGGCACAGCACAAGACGTGGCTCCAGCCTAGGGAGAGCCCTGGGCACTCAGGGCTGCTTGGATGCAGGCCAGGCCAGGCTCACCTTGGCCACTTTGATGATGTCTGGGATGTGCAGGTAGGCCTGCACAGGTGCGAGGCCACGGCCAATGAGGTAGGCTTCATCAGCTTTCTGCCGGTGCATCTGGCCCGTGTCCTGCTCAGAGTAGATGGCCACGGTGCGGATCCCCAGCTCTGTGCAGGCCCGGAACACGCGGATGGCAATCTCACCTAGGGGCAATGGGGCAAGAAGTGAGGAGAGAAACAGGCGGGAGGGGTAGAGGCGGGGTGAGGAGGAGGCCAAGGCGGGGCTGGCCCTGGGAGCACTCACCTCGGTTGGCCACCATGACTTTCTTGATGGGCTTGTACTCCAGGTGCCCCACATTTGGAGAGGGGGCAGTGGAACTCCGGCGGATACCCAGGAGCCGCAGGCCCCCTCGGACGGTCCGGAACTTCAGCATCTGCAGAGGGCAAGCAGAGCCCTGATTAGAGCAGCTTCGGCACCGAGGTCAAACAAACTCACACATAGAAGTCAGTGCCAGCTCTCTCTTCCATTTATGGCCAAGCTCTACAGAAGAAGCAAATTCAAATTCCCACTCACCCTAACGTTCTAGTTCATACCGCAGTCGTTAACACATGGCACTACAAGCTCATAAGAGATGCTTAGAGGGCACCAGGAGACAGCCGACAAGATGAAGCAGCAGAGGAAATAAAGATAGCATGGAAACAGACAGGAAAGAAGTCTTAAGAAGAGAAAAAGAGGGCAAGTGGCTCTCCAGAGTCAGAGATCAGGAGGATCACAGTTCTAAACCAGTCCAAGTAAAAAGTGAGAATCATTCTCAATAAATAAATAAACCAGGAATGGTGGTGCACACCTGGGATCCCAGCTACGCAGCTCTGCAGACCTAAGTAGCAGGACCCAGGCAAAATGGGGGAACCTAGCTGAAAACAACTAAAGCACAGGCTGGAAGCGTGGCTCAAGTGATAGAATACCATCTGAGCAAGCTGAACAAGTATGAGACCCTGAGTTCAAACCCTAGCAACTGAAAAAAAAAGTGAGAGAGAGAAGAGAGAGGATAAAGGAGGGGGAGAGAGGAGGGAGGGAGAGAGGGAGAGAGAGAGAGAGAGAGAGACAGAGAGAGAGAAAGGAAAAGAAGTAAAAAATAACTAAAGCAATGATTAGGAGCATGGCTCAGGTGGTAGTTAGCACACTTTCCTAGCAAGCCTAAATACAAGCCTGATTCAAGCTTTTGAATTCAAACCCCAGTGCTAGAGGGGGAAGGAGAGCCTCTCCTCAGTGTTGGCCCGGGCACACAGCCCAGGCCCCAGCAGGACAATCTCCTGAGCCAACACCCAGCCTGCACTCCACCTCAGGTCCTGCTGGCCAGGCCAGGTGACAATCTAGACCATCCCAAGTGCTGATCCTCACCAGCCTGCTCTCCCAGGAGGAAGCCTCTGCTGTACGCATGTAGGTTTTTTCGTGTAGCCATAGGTATCCTTCTTTCTATGATGGCTACTAAATTAATGATTAATGACATTGACTGATGGCAAGTGCAACAGGCTGTACCCAGAAAAACAAATGCTGTAAGATTCCACTTAAAGGAGGCCCCCTAGAGTGGTCAAACTCATGAAAGAGTGGTGGGGGGCAGGGCTGGGGACAGGGACTGGGGGATTAGTATTTAATGGGGATGGAGTTTCAGTTTCACAAGATGGAAGAGCTCTGTAGACAGACGGCGGCGATGGTTGTACAATAATGTGGAGGTACAAAATGCCATTGAACTATGCACTTAAAATAGTAAGATGGCTGGGCACCGGTGGCTCTTGCCTATCATCCTAGCTACTCAGGAGGCTGAGATCTGAGGAACTCGGTTCAAAGCCAGCCCGGGCAGGAACGTCCGTGAGAGTCTTATTTCCAATAAACCACTAGAAAACCGGAAGTGGTGCTGTGGCTCAAGTGGTAGAGCGCTTGCCTTGAGCTGAAGAGTGCAAGGACAGCGCCCAAGCCCAGAGTTCAAGCCCCACAACTGACAAAAAAAAAAAAAATAGTAAGATAGACCGAGAGCTGGTGGCTTCACACCTATAGTCCTCGCTAATCAGGAGGCTGAGATCTGAAGATCACAGTTTGAAGCCAGCCAGGCAGGAAAGTCTGTAAAATTCTTATCTCAAATTAACAAGCCAGAAGTAGAGCTGAGGCTCAAGTGGTGGAAAGGGAGAGAGCCGAAGCCCTGAGTTCAAGTCCCAGTACTGGCATGGGGTGGGGGGGAAGAGGGACGGGAGACAGGAGAGAGAAGAGAGAAAGAGGGGAGGGAGAGAGAGCATAAGATGGTAAATTTCCTGTCAGGTGCATTATCCAATTTAAAAATTTAAATGAGGCAATTTACATCCTCATTTTATAAATGAAGAATAGCCAGGCCCAGTCTAGTATGAAAACAGTTGCTCAGATCAGAGAGGTCTGTCCAGCCTCTCTATTCCATGGCAGCCTCTACCTTGTACCCTGGCTTTTATCTAACCACGTGACTCACTTCTGGTAAAATTTTAAAATGCTTGACGCAGCCATTTCAGTTTTAGAAGTATAAAAACAAACTCAGTAAATGAAACAAACATTACAGAAGCCCTGTGTCATATGATGGCCTACAAAATGGAAAGAGGAAGAAAATAAAGGAAAAGAAAGAGCATCTTTTTTGGTGGGCTTGAACACCAGGCCCCAAGCTCTCACACAGCTTTTTGTTGTTGTTGTTATTGTTGTTGTTGTGGGACTTGAACTCTGGGACTGGGCGCTATCCCTCAGCTATTCAGCTCAAGGCTAGCACTCTACCACTTGAGCCACAGTGCCACTTGCAGTTTTCTGGTGGATTATTGGAGATTAGAGTCTCACAGACTTTCCTACCCTGGCTGGCTTTGAACTGCGATCCTCAGATCTCAGCCTCTTGAGTAGGTAGGATTACAGGCATAAGCCCCTGGCGCCTGGCCTCTCACACAGCCTTTGTGCTCCTGATTGGCACTCTACCATTTGAGCCACATCTCCGCTTCCAGCTTTATGCTGGTTAATTAGAGATAAAAGTCTCTCAAGACTTTTCTGCCCAGGTTGGCTTTGAACCTTGATGCTCAGATCTCAGCCTCCCCAGTAGCTAGGATTATGGGCAGGAGCCACCAGTTCTAATTCTGGAATTTTCTGTCTTATAATTTTGAACAGAAATGGCCATAAGTAACTAAAACTGAGGAAAGTGAAACTGTAGATAGGAGCCACTGTGAAGAGGGCATGGAAAAACCAGGAAGACACTTCATGGACCAAGAGAGAACAGTTCACATCACCAGCACCAAACTGCGTGGTACCCCTCCTGAGAGAGCCGCCAAGGAGTCTTCCTGTGGGTTCCTGCCTCAACAAACCCAAACTAAGGGAAACCCCACTGAAAAACCGGTTTGCACTCCTCAAACATGTCAAAGGTCATGAGAGACAGAGACTTGGAAATGATTTTTGATGAAAGGAAGCCGAAGAGACAACAACAAAATGCACGAGTGAGCTGGACCGGACCCTGGACTTGCAGCCAGGGGCACTGAGGGACGACTGACAAAGTTCAAATAAGATCTGTAGATTACACAGCGTGGTATCCATGTTTATTTCTGATCTTGCTCACTGGACTGTGCATCCTCATTCTTGGGAGAAAACACTGAAGTATTTGGGGGCTTGGAAGCATCACAACTGCAATTTACATGCAAATGTTCTGGAGAAAATCTGAGAATAATGAAGTACTTGCTTCGTTACTAGTGCTTGGGGAGTTCCAAAAGGGGTAGATTTTGCAACTTTATGTCAGGATTGGAATCACAAGGGCAACTCAAACCTGAGGCCGATTCTAGACTAGGCTTTGGGGCCACATGGCCCAACACCCCTTCGCAGGAGTGGCCCAACTAGGGGCTGGGACTCAGGGAGGAAGGTGACAGTGGCCCTGATGGCTGCTCAGGGTGGCGAATGCAGATATGGGCATCTGTCATCTCCCACTCATAGATCCGTACAACCTCCTGATCCTGAGCTCTGCTTTTGGCAGAGCTGTCCTGGGCTCCCAGGGCACTCTGGTGAGGGCCATGGGGGCTGCATTGGATGAGCTCATTATTTATTTATTTTTGGTCGGTCCTGAGGTCCTCTGGGCCTGGGCGCTGTCCCTCAGCTCTTCAGTTCAAGGCGAGCGCTCTACCACTTGAGCCACAGCACCACTTCCGGTATTCTGAGCGGTTTATTGGAGATAAGAGTCTCATGGGCTTCCCTGCCGGAGCTGCCTTTGAACCAAGATCCTCAGATCTCAGCCTCCTGAGTAGCTAGGATTACAGGTGTGAGCCACTGGTGCCCAGCTCCCAAGCTCATTCTTGAAGAGTGAGCCCTATTTGCAACAAACCCAACAAAAATGGTCAACGTTGGAAGCTTCCCCTCACCAGACATGAAGGCGAGGAACATAAAACAATGAGGCGCAGCTCTTGCCCAGGACGTCACAAGTGCTGTACCCACAGTCTGTCCCATCTGCAGGTGAGCAGCCTCGCCCCTGTGGACAGCCCATGGACACCAAGGCCCTCACACCCCCACCCTCACCCCCACCCCCCACCAGAGAACTCTCAAGCCATTTCCAGTCTGTCTGTCTTTCCCCACCAGGTGAGTTTGTGCGTGTAGGCATTTGGGCATTTATCCGATGGGTGAGTAGGACATTTTTGTTGTCCTTTCTCGCACACCCGCTGTCCTCTTCCATCCCCAGATAAGGGAAGAGGATCCCGTGAGCGCGATGGTAGTGGTGTCACCTGAGGAGCCCCGGAAGGCTGAGCTGGCTCCCCAACACCAAGCCTCTCCCGGGCTGGCAGTCACACTTCACTAGGGACCAGGGCTGAGGGCTGTGGGGGTGTAGGACGCCCCTCCTCCCTCCCTGTGTTCCTGCAGAGCACCACCAAAGCAGGCCTGGATTTGAGACGTGCGCTCCCAGGTGCAGGCGCTGGCCGGGAGCTGGCCTGGCAGATGTTTCTCGTCAGGAAAGTGACAGCGCTTCAGATGAAGTCAGAGCACAGAGAAGCCCACAGGGCCCACAGACAGGGGCAGGACACAAGCCCGCGGCTGGCTCTTCTGTGCTGAGCCCAGCTCTCCTTTTGCCAGCCCCACGACGTGGCACGCCTGAGGTCATGCTCCTCTCAAAACCCAGGTACCACCACCCCAATCTAGACAGGTCACTCTGGGAATCGACCGAGTCAGGAGTGCCAGCCTCCGTCTCGTTTTCCCTGCCCCTTCCTCCTCCCAGATGAATGTGGAGATGGAGAAGGACTCCTCCAGCCTCCCCACAGCCCTGCACGCCCCTCACCAGCACTCCAGCTGCCTCGCTGCCCCCCCCCACAAAGTCCTCGGGGGGCCCCCCACGCCCTCCGCCCCAGCCTTCTGCTGTGCGCTGGTGGCAAGGATCCTGCCGGGCTCCACACACGGGGCAGTTTGTAG